ATGCTGATTAAGCAATAGAGAAGACAAAAATGAAAACCTTATCCATTTCGATAAACCTGAAGTAATTAAGACGAATCTAGAAGAAAAGGAAGGCTTCCTATGCATGCCTGAAATCTGTTTGTTCAAAGCTACTTAGAATGACTCCCAAGCAACAGTTCTGAGAAGCATTATAGTTTACTTCAGCTCCTACCGTCTATCGACATTCACTGCTGCTGTTGGTGTTGGCTTCGAAATTGAGTACAAGTTTCAGCAAAAGGGGGAAGAGTACCGTTCATCGTCTTTCACGTTTTCTTTCGAACGAGTTAGACCAGGTACCATAATAAACTCCATCTCTTTTAATCATAACAAAAAGGTTGTAATGAAAGGATCAAATTGATTTAAATCCTTGTTGTGCCTGACTTTAAATGGGGAGCATAAAAGCAACGGTCGTATTTTGCTTATTAAGGATTTTCAAATTAAAATGCTCAAACGCTGCCTCAAACTTTGATTTGATTTTCATTCTATGTCAGATAATTAGCAGTCAGCCATTCAGTACCTAAATGATTTTAAAATGTCGACGACTTGCTTCATCCATCTGGAAGAAATATATGGGGCATCCAGGGCTGCCACCAAATACGTGGCAATGTTTTTGGTGCTAATTGGTTTCCCTTTGTAAGCGTCCATTAATGCAACTTCTTCCTTTCGGCCTACTGGCGTTGGAATACTCATCTATTTATTCGCTTATTTAATTCTCTGTTTATAAGTCGGAGCAACATGCCCGATCCCGAAGGGAGCGATAAGAGCACAACATGAGTCCGAGAAAATAAGAGACAGAGCAAAAGGAACTAAAAAGAAATGGAAGACAGAAGTAGCACAGTTGGCGTACATACAATTAGAAGACACTATTGGATAGTACTGGGATTTGATAAATATGCACTTGGTCCAAGCAATCGGCGAAGCAAGCCAATGCATGGGTTGATAATTTCATCTCCCAGACACTTCCGAGACTAATCAAATGATCCCGTTGGTAGTAACGGGTTGGTTGGCTTGTGCGGGTATCGCTCCAGTATTGAAACCGCGTACTATCTGCGAGGGAACTGTGTACTGTGCAGCAGTGTATTATTTTGATCACAGATAAAGGTTAGCATCCCTGAAAACATTCAGCGAATTCCCTTTCAGATGAGAAACTTTGCCCATATCCACTGCTTCGTTCGTCCGTTAACATCACAAACGTTCCAGACATCGAAAGACCGGGACCAATTCGTGCGTACCTAATAAGCTGCTCAGCAACCAATCCCATGGATAAAATAGAAAATTTACAGGCTGTCCCTTCCGAGTAATTTCATCCGTACCGGGTCGAGAGATCCTTCTGGATTTCAACGTCCTAGCGGGAACAACATTTCTTGAGCGGCAAGAAAATGGCGATTTCAGGTAAGTGACGGGTGCTCCTGTCTGTTTTTGAATGTTATTCGAAGCTAGCAGAGGAAGGATNAGATCAGACGTCATTACTTCTTTGGATTTTCTTCAAGCCAGGAATCTTAACCGAAAATATTGCCAACAATTGGAATGAATAAAACTGTAAATACCTGAAACGCATTCGATCTAACGTTGGCTTAAGTAGAGTGGAACACTCAAGTTTTCATGAGAATGATAGCTGTTCATTGGAAAGCACTAGAAAATCCATTATTGTACTTTTTAGGATCACTACACCTGAAGTTTTGAGGGTGTATGTCAACAAAGCATATTTCGTACTCGAAGGCCTATCTCCATATCACCCTCCACGCTACAGCATCACTTTCAAAGAGATTGTTGAAGACCGTAAGTTGGTTCTTGTGCTAATTCTATGTACTTCTGACAGAACGCCAAGTTCGCTGAGCTATTAATTGGGATTTTGCATTCCTGTTAGTACGGTAGTACAATCCAAACCTAACCATAGACGTTCCACTGACTAACCATTCTAGACGGAGCAGTTCTACTGGGGCAAGAAATACCCACAGCCAGTGCTTCTTCGGTGCCCGGTGACGTCAATCCCTGCTCGCCGTCATTCTTTTCTTTATGGCTTGATAATTTTTTTGTTATCTATCCAGAGCAATCCAGAGCAATAATGACATTTCGTCGTATGTTTGCTGACAAGCAACAGGGTAGGCACAACGGCAACGACAGAAGTCGCGACTCAATCCCGTGTCTAGGCTTATTGGTGAACTGAGCCACTCTTCTGAGCTGAGGGACGGTATGAATCGGTAGTGATTGAGCTTGGTACCCGGGAGTGGGAGGTTGATTGAACCATATGCGAGACTCAGTCTTAGTGCAACATCTTCGAGATAAGGTCGCATCACGAATCAGTGGGATAATAAGCGGAAAAGGAGGCAAATTGTGTTGATTGTGTTAATAATAAAATATAGGAGGGAGAAAAAGGAAGTTCGACATCACAGTGCAGATGCGTTACAAAGGTGTCAGTTTGCTTTCACGGCTCTAAACCTTGTCTCACCTTGAACAAACCCTGAACTACCATAAGAGTAGAAACCACTGATATCGGTTAACATTTACCAACTAGGCAGCAGAACGGCTATTTAGAGACGGACCTATCTAGCCCCCGTCTAGAACGTACCACAATTTGAAAAATATGCATTTTAGCTTGTGACTGTAATGAAAATGACGTGGTTGTGAGTACGAGACCAGTATACACAATATCGCCCGGATTCCCGATAACTTATTGCTCTGGGTTCCGATGCAAAAGACGATTCATCCACAACGACACATTACGTCATGGCCATGATTCCCAGTTGGCATTTGCTGTCACTGTGCATTTTCTCAGTACTCAGAAAACCGATTATCTTCAGTTCTACTCGGATGGAATCACTATGGAACGGTAAGTTTTCGAGAATTCGATTTTGAGACGATCTTACTCCTGTGGTGAAATCAAGGTTCCTATACTCAGATTGAACGGGACCCACAAAGATGTGCAGTTGGTATTCATTGGAGACACTATGGAGACAGAATTCGTTACAGATGATAAGATTGAGCAGCATGGATATAACATGACTGTGAGATCGATTCATATCCCTACTGGTATGTAGAGGCTTTTGTATGTAAACACTTTACAAAACACTTTACAAGCCGCTCTATTAAAAAAGGAGCGAAAAGAGGCTTTGAGACTCTTCGATAAACGTGCGTAAGGCACAGATTTCTGTTTTAAAATCAAAAATTGCCGATAGATTCTTTTAGTATTCTAACTCCTTGAATATTCTGTTACGAGGTGCGAGATTTTTGAGTTTACTTTCTTTGTAACTGATTACTGATTTATTTGAGTAAACAAATTGTATCATTAGGCCACAAGTTTTTACAATTTAAAAAAATTCGAAGGCTTTCAATCAGATTTTTCCACTTTGCTTTTCTTGCCTCATGAAA